CTGCGGGGGTGGCAGTGCTGCGAGCGCGAGTGGAAAGTGTAAGTGTGCGGGTCTGGCTCAAAAACGGTTTGTCTTCCTCTGACCGTGCAGGGCCCGGGTTCTGCACCGCAGCTTGCCATGCACTCCCGGATTAAAATCCTGGCGCTTTACGCCTTTTCCATCACGCTGCTGATGGGGGTTTTTTACGTGAAGAAAGAGGCAAAGTTGGCAGCGCCATCAGCGAACCAGAAAGTGGATGTAGTGAATCATAAACTGAAGTCTTTGCTTCTGGGCAATGCTGAACCCAGCAAGTGTTTGCCAAACTTGACCCTTGCCAATTTGTCTCTCTCCCTTCCGGAGCTTCACCGCGTCTTCTTAACGTACAAGCACTGCCGGAACTTCTCGGTCCTGTTGAAGCCTTCCAGGTGTAGCAAGGAGACGTTCCTCTTGCTGGCGATCAAGTCTTCCCCGATCAACATAGACCGCCGGGTTGCAATCAGGAACACGTGGGGAAAGGAGATCTCCCTCGGTGGCAAGCACATCAGACTGGTATTTCTTCTAGGGCGCTCGGAGCCCAAAGTCCAGGTACAGCCCCTGTACCAGCTGCTGGATTACGAGAGCCAGGAGTTTGACGACATCCTGCAGTGGGATTTTGTTGACAACTTCTTCAATTTGACCCTCAAGGAGCTGCATTTCCTCCGCTGGTTCATGGAGGACTGCCAGCATGCCAGGTTTGTGCTGAAGGGCGATGATGATGTCTTTGTCAACACTTATAACATTGTTGAGTTCCTCCAAGAACTGGACCCTGAACAGGATCTCTTTGTTGGGGATGTGATCGCCAATGCCCGGCCCATCAGGAACACCAAGGTCAAATACTTTATTCCAGAGCCCATGTACAGAGCCCCGTTCTATCCTCTCTATGCAGGTGGAGGGGGCTATGTGATGTCTAGAGAGACAGTGCGCCACCTCCAGAGCATCGCAGAGGACATGGAGCTCTTCCCAATAGATGACGTCTTTGTGGGAATGTGTCTGGCAAAGATGGCAGTGACCCCAAAGAACCACGCTGGCTTTAAAACTTTCGGGATCCAGAGACCTTTCAATCGTTTTGATCCATGCTTGTACAAAGAGCTGATGGTTGTGCACAAACTAGACCCAACCGAGATGTGGATCATGTGGACGCTGGTAAAGGATGACAGCATTAGGTGCGCGGTGTCAGTGACACACAGCTACAGAAGGGGCTGGCAAAGAAGCTACTGATGAGCACGGCAGGATGGTGACTGGTGACGGATACAGGGTACGCGAACTAAAAATCAGGTTGTGGTAGAAACGTGTCCTCTACTAACAGACTGTACTTGAGCCGTAGGGGTTTGTTTGGCAGTAAGTCTTTTCCTATCGGTGGGTTACTGAAGCAGTTGAATTGTCACAGGGAGGGAACGGGGCTGGTAGCTTGGTGAGACACGGCACAGGGGACTCAGCTTGGCTCTTCCCAGCCAGACTGGAGCCAGAGGAAGTCACAACTGCAACAGGGACGTGCACGAGGTGACATCTGCTATGGAGGCTCTGCAACACCACGGCTGGTGTCAGACTGCTGGGCAAATTCAGTCTTGCGTAGGAAAGCTGATGACTAATGGGTGACAGAACACTTGAAATTACTTGAAAAAGTGGCAGAAAAGCCAGTGTGTGCTGCTGGGACCACTGCATGGCAATTCCGCTGTCCCAGGCCAGCAGTCCCACAGGTCCTACTGGACAGCAGGAGAAAGAGAGTGGAGTAGGGGAAAAAAAAAAAGCCTCAAAAATGCATTGCTTTAACCCAGCACGATGATCCAAGTGACTGGGCTCTGACTCAAGCCCTTTGGATTTTACAGAAGTTTATCACACGTTTACTTGCACTGGAAGCTTTTGCACAAATGCTTTCTGATTGGGTTTGAGAGGAGCAGTATGTCTTGAGTAATCACGGTAGTTGCAGTGGCTGTAGCTTTTCATGTTGTATGGGAGGTGTTTGGGGTTCAGTTTGGTTTGTCGTTGTAATGTTGGGTATAAATAAAATATAGTTTTGAAAAGTGTTTTCACAGGAGTATTCTTGGGTCGCCTGAAAGCTAAGGGAACTCAAAGCCAGAGAAGGCTTAGATCTGGTGCTGGGGGTTTGCTTTAAGGAGTCGTTGGTATTGAAGAGGTTAAGGTTATGTGGCAATGGAAACTTGCCACTTCCTTTGCAGTGAGCTGCTCCGTTCTCTGCCCCTGTCTAGACAAGATGTGTTGTTACGGAAGCAATTAATCCATGAGTGCACTGGAGTCGCCAATTTGAGGGAAGATCAACTGTGAAACTGGGATGTGGCAGTTGCTGGAGCAGGAGCTGCTGTGCGCTGTGTGAGCAGGAAGCGGCCCGGAAGCTTTAGGAAAAGGTCGTGGGCAGAGAGGAAGTGCGTGATTACAGACATCAGAGTAATTTGTGTTGTGCTCTTGTCATTGCTGCCCACCAGATGCGAGCCGGGGCGTTCAGAGGTGCCTGGAAGAGCTTCCAGGAGGTCCTTGCTTGGATGCCTTAGGCAGAGGGCATCCCCGAGACCAGAGGTGTGAGCTCAGAGGGCAGGCTGGGTGCCCTGCCTTCCAGCGTGGTGGTGCAGCGCTGTTTGACCTCCGGCCAGGGGAGTTCTGGCAGTACTGCTGGTCCTTGTCTCAGAGTGTCCCTTGCTGCCTCGGCTTTTTAAAGCACCAGGTGTAGTTCCAGCTTAACCCCACAGCGTGAGCCGGACTGTGTGGCAGGAGTTGCCCCTCTCGCACGAGCTGTTTCTGTGCCAGATGTGTCTGAAAAAAATTCCTCTTCCAAGGGGTGAGCCTGTGTCTGTGTGTCCATCCTCAGCTGCTCCTGCGCCTTCTCACAGCAGCCCTACAGGGATCAGTCAGCTGTACCTGAGAAATTGTCTGCACAGTTTCAGACATGTTGGCTTTGTGAACAAGGCTGCGTATCAGCAGCAAAACCCAGTTTCTGGGCACTGTTCTCTGGGCACTGCGGCTTGTTCGAGGGGAGACACTGGCCAGAGCAGGTACCCTATGAACTGCTGTGGCAGCATTTTTCCGATCCACTAGATGATTCCAAATGCAAACTCAGGAACATAATGCAGAGCGTGATGTCATGTCTGTTGCGGGTTTAGGTGTACGGGCTAACCCCCAACAGGCAACTCTCACTTCCTAATAAAGGTGTGGGACACTTTTCCACCCCATTTTGGAGGCAATACAGAGCCACTCACGCTCCTCACTCCCATTTTGACTTGTCTGAACTGGCTAGTTGGGTCCTATCACGTCTGAAGGTTCGATGTGTGTGCTTGTGTCTTGGGAAGTAACAGCAGGGCGTAGGGTGAAACAAGAAGTGAGGCATGGGGCTGCAAGGGGGCTGGGAGCGGGCTCCGAAAGGGGAAGAATGAGTGGCTTTGCAGACTCCTGCAGCAGTCCGTCTGAAGCCATATCTCTGCCATGCAAATGCCTGAGTAGAGTTATTGTAGCATCCTGAAAAGAAGACAACCTGTATGTGCATTTGGGTCAGTGGCTTGGCAGAAGTTCTTAAACTGCAGGATGTAACCAAAAATTGGAGCAGTTGTGGTTAGAGGTTGATCTGAAGTTGCATTTGGCTCTTGAGGGTGTGGCTGTGCCACTGCTGCAAATAATCCTCTCATGATAGTGTTTTTTTTTCCCTAATGCTCCAGCCCAAAGCTGGGTTTGGGACCTCCTGACTACTGGCACAGCAGACACTGGCATCTTCCCGCAAGCCTGAGTTCTGGTCTGTGCCATCCTCCTTGGATACAGCAGGACCCGTCTGTGCCATCCTCCTTGGATACAGCAGGACAGAGTGAGGAGCAGGAGCAAGGAAAGGTGGTTTGTTAACTCCTTTACCATTTAATCTATAAATATACAGTGCGGTGCAGCTGAGATTGCATTTGCTCAAAAGGCAGGCAAAACGAGACAGAGGCTCCTGCTGCAGCTGGTAATTCCCAGTCAGGCACAACTCAACTTAGTAACAGCAACCTCGACACAGATGCAGTGTATCAGGTGCTAATTTGTGGTAAAACCCCCTATGATTAATGTGTGTTTTCTTACAAAACTGATGAGTGGGGATCAACTGACTCAAATCAGCAGTGATAAAGTTCTGGTGGATGCTTTTCTACGCAGCAATCTCAGCTGAAGTTCATTGTCTATGCAGTTAATATTGCAAATTTCACATTAAGCTGTCAAGTTAGAAAATGAACACAGTGAAAGACACCTGTGGTTTTGAAGCCTGCAGCAAAACACTAAGATTGCAAAAAGAGAGAAGTAAGATTGTTTTCCTGAAACTTGTGCTGGAAAGCATTCAAATATGTAAAACTCACTTTTCCTCACTGCATCTTGAAAATTCAGTCTCCCTTTGCTTCCCGGGGAAGGCAGATGCATTTGAAGTGGTGACTCTGGAGTGAAAGAGGCTGCTGCACTGGGCTGCAAACCTTCGCTAAGAGCCTGGCTAACTCCACAGACAGTTTCCAGCAGTTCAGTGTAATTTGATGCAGCTGTCAGACCCAGCTCTGTTACGAACTTTTAAGTTCAAGTATAAAAAACAGGGCTTCATCTCAAACCCAAAAGGGCACACTCGCAACGAGATGCTTTTGCACAGTTTAATAAAGGTATCTCCTACCAGACATCGTTTACTTCACAGGTTAGAAATAATGACTTTTAAATATGCTTCTTTGGCTGATACCTAGCTAGCCTCTGAGTTGAGAGCACTCAGAAACACAGCAAACGAGCAGGGGGACCCTCCCAGCAGAGAGACAAGTAAGAAGCTATCCTTGATAGCAGTTTTCACATTTGCATAGTTAAACATTTAAATAATTGAATCCATAAATATTACAAACATGGTGAATTACAAACAAGATAAAGGCCTTTCAGATACTTGGAATTGACTTGATTTGTAAAGCAATCCTGTTTGGGGTAAAATGGAATCATAAGCTTATTTCAGTGGTTTCCACACTATCCCACACTTAAAAGTTTGGGACTCTTCAGTTTGCAATTGACTCCCACATATTCTACAGTGACACTTCGGTTCTTTTCAGTCCTCCCGAAGGTAAGGGTCCTCACCCGCCTCTGTACTTCCTAAAATACCCTGCGGCAATGAAGATTCCTCTCCTTGAGCTTTTATGAGCTCTTCTGTTTGAGCTTCAGCTAACTTGGTCTCTGCTTTCTGGGACAGCTGTCGCACCTCTTGCACCTGGGATTTCACTAGCTGGATGTGGCTGCGAGCTGTCACCGAGGCTTGGTCTGCACCTGGAAAGCAGGAAGTTAAATACACTGGGGTAGAGCAGCACTCAGCAAACCTTCAATTAAGGAAGCAACTGTCTACAATTATCATCTGCTTTGCTAAGTGTTTCTGTGGCTTTTGGGCTATATTAATGCTGAATCACAGAATCGTGAAAAGACCTTGAAGATCATCAAGTCCCACTGTTAACCCAGCACTGCCCACTCCACCACTAAACCATGTCCCTAAGCACCACATCTACACGTCTTTTGAATACCTCCAGGGATGGTGACTCAACCACTTCCCTGGACAACCTGTTCCAGTGCTTAACAACCCTTCCGGTGAAGAAATTTTTCCTAATATCCAAACTAAATGCATTTACTGTTCATTTACCTTTAACAACAATACTACTGTGAGACTTTTCTGCCCCCTGGAATTACTCCCACCCAAGTGGGTTACAGCCAGTGTCTGATCAGTGTGGTCAGCTTGTGCTAGTGGGTTAGAGAACTAAGCCCAGCCCAGTCATGACGTGCCAGGAACTTTTAGTCCTTGTCCTGTCCTAGCACCTAGCAGCTGCAGGAATGTCTATGGCACTGCTGAACTCTGAAACCCTTCTCCTCCCCTAAGCATTCTGTGCTCCTACGGATTCTGTGTCCTTCTCAGGCACTCACAGAGTTACATGTCCCTGTATATTCATTGCTTTCCCTTCCCTTCTTGACTCCAGTAACTTTGCTGATTTACCATAAGTCAGCCCATAACTCAATCTCAGAGCTATCAAGTCTCTACAGATTTTCTGAAGGCAAGTATACAGGCAGAAAAGACCAAAGTTACTGTCTTTCCTGAGTGAAAGGCAAATATTGTCACTCTTTAACAAAAGTAAATCCAGCTAGAAAGACCTGCTGGATCCCCTAGGTAGCCTTATTTCTGTGCCTCTCAGAACCGTGTTTGAAGACCGCATTTAAAAATGATTAAACACTTCCCTCAAACGTTTTTTTTTAGGATGGTTGGTCTTGATCTAAACCGTGTAGGAAGTTAGCCGAACACTTCTGCTAGACCTGCAGCCAATAAAAGAATGTAAGTTCACAGCATCTTTAAAAACCAGGCGCGAGTTCTAAATTGGTTATGTTAACTGAATGTATATTCTGTGTCTCTCTCAGCTCCATCCTTTTTCAATAAATACTGCTGAAATGCTAGAAGAAAGAAACTCTGCCTATTTCTGCTTGTGCTTACCTGACTGATATGCAGCTTCTGCTGCCATCTCTGAAAGACGTAACGCTGTCATCCAGCTGGATTCCAGCCTTAGGTATTCCTGCTTTTTGTTTTGTTGTCATCTAGAAGTAAAACAAAGTGTTACTTAACTGGATGTAACAGTATCTGAATGCTCTTCCAAGCTGTGGCTTTGTGAAGAGGTGGACAACGGTCTGAGCAGTTTTAAGAGGCAGATTGCTGACTGGAGGGAGACAATGGCTTACATCAACTCTGGCTCCTATCACCACCTGCCAGACTGCATCCACCTCTTCGGAATTCATCTTCCCAAGGAGATTTGCATATTGCTTGTAGAGAGACACCAGTGTATAAACTGCCTGCAAAGGAATCATTTCACACAATTAGTGACAATCTGTACATCTCTGATGTTGTCTCAGTGTTAACTGGTGTTAATTAGCAAAATTGCTGAATGGTTCCCAAGGTGCTTAGTTTTCAAGTTCAGTGCAATTTTGGAGGCATTGACAGCATTTGCTGTCTGCCTGCAGACGTGCTGTGCATAGCATCTCTTCATGTACTTGTCATATTAAGAAGGAAGTAAACTGGAATGCAAATACTTTACTCAAATTGGCACTTACTTACACAATTAAAACTCTATCTTGTTGTTTCAGACTTAAATATGGCTTCTTCTGATGAAACTCAAGTTTATGGCCTTAGAGATGGGCACAGAAGGTAAACAATACACCCAAGAATACAGGCTAGTGTACACTACTTACAGAGTAAGCAGGTATCTAATAACTGTAGTCCAGCCCCAGTTCTGAGACATGGGCTCGAGCTCAAAGCAGTCCAACAAAGCTAAAAACAACCTCCATGTCTGGTGTAGTAGAATGGTGAGCCCTACACCACTGTTTCCTAGAGACTTGGCATCTTCAAACCCCCCCACCTCTTTTATTAAAATTCATAAAAACACAAAGTCCATTTTAAGTATGGCTTAACAGGTGTAGTCAGCACCAAATAATTCAGTATTTCCAGTATTAACGTGGTAGCAAAGTGCGTAATCTCTCAGCTTACCTTTGTATACTCTGTCAGTGCTTCAATCAGTGCGTATGTTGTTTGGGAGAGGAGTGTGGAAGTACTGTCTGTTACCAAGGAAACTGCTCGTTTAATCAAGGCATCGTTACTCAGGGAAACCGAGTTCTGTTTCTGAAAGACAAGACGTCTGCATGATCTTTGCTCTGACTTTCAGATGGATTTACACTGACTTTTTACACTTTACACAATCTTTACACCGACTTTCAGATGGATTAGTAACAAATAAGGGTACGGAAAGGCACCACTGTTAGTTACAGGGTTGGGCAGCCTATTTCTTGCTGTTTTGCCACTGTAAAACTGTTTTTGCAAGGTGTTACTGAAGGCAGCCATTGTCCTTCTCATTTCTCTTCCTGAACAGCTGCATGGCTTAAACCCCCCTGATCCCCAAGAAGGAGCACAATTCGGAGGGCAAGCACTAGTTTGCACGAGAGGGTGCTGTGTGTATCTCGCTCCCGATACGTTACCTCCACGACTGGGATGGCACACAGGGCCACTCCCAGCCCCACGCCCACCGTGTGGTGCAACTGTCCGTTGGTGCCCGAGAGGCAGCGTCTCCTGAGGCTGGCCAGAACAGGGAAGCTTTGTCTGGAAATGCAAGAAACAAAGTTACACACAAGAAATAACCAGCGTGTGGTGGAAATCACGTGTCGAAGAGGCAAAGAACACCCAGAAGCTGTCTGGGGTGACCTAGGCTCTCCCACGCTTCTGCAACGCGGCTGCCAAACAGCGAAGGAGTGAGTTTGTTTTCAATCCTGTTCTATCACTTAAGTGCAGAAGACAAGCCCAGTGACTAGTGCACTGTTAATGCTCTGAGAGAGGAAACATCTCCTACCTGGTACCAGCACGCCGCTGACATTCAATAACATTGAAAAATAAGTGAAAAAGCGTGCTTAAAAGTGGCACAGGGCACAGGCTGGCGAGCAATGTGACTGGGAACGGTTTGCTGCAGCCCAGTGGCACTGGGGGCCTCCCGTGGTCGGTGTTATCCGCACCCGGCGCTGTGTGTCCCTGGGGTCAGACGCCAAAACGCTGGAGCAACACCCAGCCGTGAGGATTTTTGCGTTGCGCAGC